AAAAATTGTTAGAAGGGCCCAAGCCTTCCCAAATTAAAAGTCTACCAAATTTGCCAAGAACGGAAGTAGAATCATTTTGGCAAAAAATGTATAATATAGCAGCTTCACTTGGCAATCGCGTCATGCAAGGCATAATTCTTCCGCTAATTAATTTCTTGATATCAGTCACTTATGGTAATCGTGATAGTAATAATAGTGGTAGTAATAATAGTGATGATGGTAATAATAGTGATGATGGTAATAACTGATTTGTTACTATTACAACGAAATTTTTACTTTTTATGTCTTTTTTTTTTCAATTATAAATAAAATATAAATATTTTTCGTATATTTTTCTAGCAAAAGTGATTATATTATTATTATTCAAGAACAAAGTTTGTTAATTAAATAAGTACATAAAATAAATAATATGATTAACCAGGAAACATCAATTATGATGAGATTTGGCTTAAGGGTAAGCTATATTAATATGTTAATTAGTGTTGAATTTTTTTCGGGAATTCAAAAAACTTGCGAGTAATATGAGTCAAACAATTTTTTCTTTAGGTTTATTAATTATGTATTATTGACTAACCTTTAATTATTGTCCCATTTTACTTCAAATTTGGTTAAAGTAGTCCTTTTCAAATTTGCATGAAACCAAAAAACATGACTTTTATAAATGTGACCTTTAGAATACAAGGAAGAAATAGTAAAAGCGCTAAGGAACTTTATAATCACAAGAAAATAATTTTGGATCCTACATAAGCAAAATTTTAAAAATTTATACACGCCAAAAAAAATTTTTTTTTATAACAATAAACTCCATATGATAATTTAACCAGGAATGCGCCCATGTGCTTGACAGCATTAATAGCCTTCAATCTTATCAAGCTTCCTGATACGCATCCATAAATTTCTTTGGATATATGCGCATTCGTTCAATAGAGACTGAATTTAAAGCCTCTAAAGCTATAACCTCCATATTTCTAAAAGTATAATCTTATTTGGCTCATGCATACCTTTTGGCTGTTTCTGATTAGCGTTGGCTTCCCAAAACTATAGAGTTTCGTAATTGTGTGAAAGTCGAAACTTGTTTTGACTTTTGCTTCTTCAAAATAGTTTAGACGACCAACATTATTCTCCAATAAAGTTCAATTCATTTTCGCCGTTCCACAAATCTCTTTCTCCCAGAATTTTTTCAATTCCCTCGAATTGGGCCATTTGGAAAATGCATTTTTGGGGAGTGCTATCTGAAAACTTTTCATCATAATATTTTTCGTTTCCATGAGGTTTTAAATTCATCGCGTGAGCTGACAAAGCGTCTAATTAAAATGATGAATGGCTAGTTGCATTATCAAATGCAAATATAGAAATACAACCACAGAATCTAGATAAAGCTTGTTAAATATTGGAATTGTTTTTTCCTAGTTTTGTTGTAAAGAGGATTAGTGATTTTTTGGAATAAAAAATAATCAATAGATTCATCTGTTTAACAATCACTCAGTTGTTTACCATATCACACGAGCTTCCTTTTTTTCAAGTAATTGTCGGGAAACGTCGTGGATCGGGGTAGACCCATAATAATAATAATAATAATAATATAATAATAATAACACGATTAGCTAATTTAAATATTAATATATTAATGTATAAATGATCGGACCATGCGTGTATTTATAATATTGTGACACCAAAGAATATCATCGATTTGAAAATTTGGCACTCGGCACAGCATTTGATGTCTTGCACTATTAATCGAGTTTTCGAGTGAACGCTTTCAGAAAATCTCGATAGTCCACTATTTCTGAACTTGTTTATAAAACAGACTGTAGAAGACTTCCTTTCTTGAAAAAACTGTAGGTTAATGCGTTTTGAAAAAAAATAAGATTTCCAAAAAATATGCAAGGCTAATAATATCTTATATCGGACAAAAAATGTTCTATTCCGAAATTAGATTTTTTTTTACGCCTTTATTAATAATTGTTAATTAATTGTTAATTAAACAAGTTTTTAAACCGAGATGCAACGGTGAGTTTTGTCGAAATACAGATTAGCATTATAGTGCACACCATCCATCTAAAGACATCTAATGTTACGTGAGAGCATCCAAAAACGGCAATGATGTTCTTTGATTCCACTTATTATTATTATTATATATATGTTCATTCGGAGCATCAATATTAGCATTGGATGCAAAGTATCCTAATACCCTATTATGTGTTCATGATTAATGATGTGATTTTTAATAAAATAGACTATTATGTGGCCAAATGAGAATTTATCTAGTAGTTTAATAAATTACTACAAAGACCAAGTTTACAACTGAGAACGCAAACGTGAGCTTTAACATCATATTAACAGTAAAGTTAAGTTGGGTTTGGATTGCATCTTCTTCGTCGTAAAATCACATCAATTGGGTCAAGACAATAGTATATTTTATTAAATTCGAAACATGTAAATAGGGCGGCTGTCACTAACAAATTTTTCGTAACGTCAACGTTGAAGTATTTCGAGTTTACAAATGGAGTACACTATGCTATGTAAGCACATTCAAACCACGAAATCACACCATCATATAGTGAGTGATACAACTTTAGTGTCAAATTTTCATAGCAATGATATTATAAAATCACACGATTCAACTACTATTACTATTACTATATATATATTCATTCGGAGCATCAATCGTATTATTATATTGATATTCATTGAGCAAAATATTTATTTATTTACTTTAATGATTAAAGAGTTGTTACGTGAATAAATAAAATGAGAAGTGGTCGTTGTTAAAAAAAAAACGACCGAGACTTTTTTGAAAGTGTAAAAAGGAATAGGATGATTTTCCTTGTTGTTGACGAGAAACTGACCAAGTCTTTTTGAAAATAATGCAAATAAGATGCTCTGTCATTATTTATTGAAAAAAACTGGAATTAGTCGTTGTTAAAAAAAACCAAGCAAGACTTTTTGAAAGTGTAGAGGATTTTTCGATACCAGCGTAAAAGGAACAGGACAGTTTGCGATTAATTTCCTTATTGTTTGTTGACGAACCAAAGGAAACAGACTTATATGCTATCCTTCAGCTAAAACCTGATGCAACTGAGGCCGAAATTAAATCAAGCTACAAGAAACTTGCTCTGAAGTACCACCCCGACAAGAATGGCGGTACTAGGACTGAAGAGGTACTGGATCAAATTTGTTTTTTTTAACACCGATCTGCATATTTCATTGATTAGATATTTTTAATGGAGTGGGATAAGTTTTCAAAGGCATACGAAATCCTCTCGGATGGTGATAGACGCTTTCTTTATGATAACTACGGAACGATAAATAATTGTATGCATTAAACTCGCTGCATTTGAGTTTTAGTATCGCTTCCTTGACTTATTTAATTTTAATTAATTTTAGCCTTAGGTGGTAAGGCGTCATTAAATCACTGTTTAGGCGGAGAACCTTGGCAACTCTATATCGGTGAAGTGGAACTTGGCCTCTGGCTGTACTCATTTATGGAAAATAAGAACTCACCTGAACTAGAAAACCTAAATTCAGCTGAGCAAAAAGCTCGTCGTCACAATATTCGTCTATCCAGCATTACTAATTATCTACAAAGCAAACTTTCTCAATTTCCAAAAAATGAATCAGAGCTTTATTCATTTGTAAATAGTTTGTATCAAGAATCCCAAATACTTATCGCAGAACCTAATGGCAAAGAGCTATTATCTTGTTTAGGCAATATCTACACTACTAAGGCCAATGCCTATCTATACGTGACCAAGTTGCGTGGTTATTCAAATACGGATTCTATATTCAGTCTTCTTGTATTTATGGCGAAAAGCTTGATTCCTGGCCTTGGTTTTACAACAGGCCTTAGATGCGTGATTTCTAGTTTAACGGCAAATAAAATCAAAAGACTTGAATTTACGAAAGGCGTGGTTTCTAGTTTCATAGCAATTAAAAGTAAAGGTGGAACTTCAGGCATGAGCCTAGAAGAGGTAAGGGCTTATTTAATAAACCAAAAATAAAATAAAACCTAATTACAAATAATTTGATTAAAAAATCCTAGATCTATCAAATATTTTGGCAGCTTTCACGATCAGAAATATCCTCAATTGTAGCTGAGAGCTGTGATAAAATTTTGACTAGTGACAGTGAAGACAACAAACATCTTGCCGATTCACTGAATATCCTGGGAAAAGTGTGGTTAGATACAGTATCAGTAAATAGTTAGCGCTTTACATTATTTAATTGTCTATATAAAAGCAAACTTCGTATTGACTACTTTTTTAATTGAGTTGTTCATTTTCATTATCATGATTTTATCTCTTTAGTTTAATATCTATATTAATCATTTATTATCATTATTCTTTTTAAATTTAATATAATAATAAGTTCATATTTTTAATTTGGAATATTATTTACTTAATAAAGTTTTGATTTTAACTGGTATGCCCATCATATGCGCTGATTTTGTTTGAACCCCAAAATCCAGTACGGTATGATCATAACGTTATGAATACTTTATACTAGTAAAAACCCATTGATTTTGAGGCGGGCCATTGGTTTGACGGGTTGTTGAATAGTAAAATAGTTTTTTTAGCAGAGCAAATAATTTTTTTAGGGTTAATTATCATTCTACTGATTAAAAATACTCATGTTTAACATCGAGACACAATAAGACAGACACAAGGTTTGAAAAAAGGCCCAGAAAACCAAATCAGCTGATATGGATACTTGGAACCGCTCATTTAGATTATAATTGGATGATTGATTTCATAGTTACTTTCAAAATATTCATAAACTAAATTGTTATAGTTTCTGAATTTTTCAATAGATTGGCAAATTATGTAGTCTGGCTCAACTAATTAAAGAGCTATTCATATAAGCAATATCTAAATTCGTCAGAGGAATTCAAAAAGGTAAATAACTATATTAAATTAACATTGTGAGCTAATGATCTATGACGAAACTTTTGATTTTAGTCATTGACGTAACTAAACTATTGACTGAAGGTGGTTTCTCACCAGGCCATTTTGACGAAAGTAAAACCCCTTGACGTAAGTAAAACCACTTTACATAAGTAAAAACACTTGACGTAAGTAAAAACGTTTAATATAAGCAGCAATAATGATAATGATAAAATAGAGTTATCAAAAGTTCCAAATTATGTAAAAATATGTGTCCCAGGGATGAATAAAGAATTATTATATCATTGTATGTATATTGCAATGATGCAAGAAGAATAATTATCATGGGGTTTGAATCAGAAATTTCACTTAATTAAGCTACTTACTTTTTCTTTCAAAATAAAATTGCCTCTTTTTTTTTACAAATTAAAACCATTCTTTTATTATTAATTGACTTTACATACATATGAGTTGTATTAAATTGATAATAATGTGCTTGAGCTGTCTTTGGTGTCTGAGTTTGAAGCAACATAGGTTACCGCATAAAACAGGTTTTTAGATATTTTTGAGAATGTTGAATTTCTTTTATTAATAAATCTATTACTGGAGTTTGGTTATGAAGGAGTTGTTCTTTAAATAATGTTTTTCAATTTACATCTTTATCAATTAATCAAAAAAAATGTTGTACGAAAAATTGTTTGTTACACGGTATTCAATTGTGTGGAATGGAAACAAGGTTTTAAACGAAAACGTGACAGCGAATTTGGTGGCTTTTAAGCGGACAATGAAGTAATTGAGT